TTTCCCTAAACAAATATCATATTAGTAGTACAACATATATGTTATCATGCAATAGTTTTAAATTTAGTAAAGAAAGAAATAAAAACATTTAATATGTTGTTCATGCATGCAGATTTAATTACTTGGAATAAATTTTAGCTTAATAAATCACAATTATCAGCCAGTTCACCGACGTAATCGCAAAAACACATCATTTTTTTTTTTACCAAATTAAATTAAGCATTAACAAAATACCTTCCTGAGACAGTGCGTCGAGTGCATGCGCCGTGTCGACGGAGAGCAGGTGGCGGCGCCTGGCCTCCTCCTCGTCCTGGCGGCGGCGCTCGGCCCTGACGGCGGCCTTGATTCCGTACCTCTCGCCGACGAGAAGGTCCCACCTGAAGATGTGGCTGAGGCTGTTCATCATCTCGTCAAGCTCCTCGTCCCGCATGTCCACCAGCGTGTTCACCGTGAAACCCAGCTCAGCTATCTTTGCCGCCGTCAGGTACCTTATCCCGTACGCCTGGAAGAGCTCCTCCAGTCCCCCAAGCTCCCGTGGCCTCACCGGGTACGCGGGCGCCGGCGCTGGAGGCACCACCGCCTCCAGCAGCCGGTTCTGGAGGGCCGCCGCCCTCGGGTCCCACTTGAAAAGGCCAGCCGAAAACGCATCGGGATCCATTTTTCTTCTTTTTCTTCCTGTGGATTCAAAATGAAAGCAAGATATATAGATATATATGCTTTTGGGTGACACCTTTTTTTTGCCCTTTGCCTTGTGATATATATATACTTAGATATATATATGTGTGGGAGGGTGGGGTTTAGTTACCTCTATATACCTTTTTATTTTAATTTATTTTATTTTGAATTTATATATAATTTTCTATTTTCGAAAAAGGCCCTTGATTTGATAGGGTTTTGGTATAGGGTTTTGTTTCTATGGTTGGGAAATTTGGCATGGAATAGCTGAATAGCATTAATGTTTATAATATATTTGGTATTGAAGTGGAAGTCCTTTCAATGTTTATATATTTGGGTATTGCAGTGGAAGTCCATAATTACTATTGTATTTGTGGGGCTCTGTTGTCCATATTGAGGTTGTGGTGTGCAAATGGTTTCACTTGAGCCGGCAAAATTTTAAAATTGGTCCTCTAACTTAGTCACTTTCCAAAAATGCACCCCGCCATTGGCCACTTTCATTATGGGTCATATAAATTGTCCATTTAATCAATATTGGTCCTATTTTATCCATGCCCCGAATAAAAAATCGACGTGGCAGTTTTAAACCTGACATGGCATGATTATTGTTTACATGACAGGATAATAAAGGTTGACTTCAAAATTAAATTATCCACGTAAGCTACACAATTAACTATAACTTTTAAAATTACAAAATAGTCATAATAAGGTTGACTTCAAAATTAAATTATCCGGTCTTCTTCTTCTCACATTTGAGTTTCGTTACGAGTTGGTCGAGAAGCTTAGGGGGCTTGGCGTGAGGATACCTCTGTGCGTAAAGGATAGCATAAGTGAATGTGAATTATTGTGTGTGGAAGGGAGTTCAGGGTGAAAGTAGAGTGTGCTCAATATTGATGCTGCTGTAATACATCAAAATGGTAAAATCTATTTTTTTTCTGGGATTTTTTTGTTGAAACATAAAATGGATACATCAATTGTAATTCTGATGTATTTTATTTCTATCATCTTCTGTTTGTGACTGATGTGGAAAAAAAAAACCCAAATTTTTCAGCGACCAATTTTTTTCAATTGGAAGGGTATCGAGGAGAACAAATCGACAGCTAAGGTGAAAAAGAAATTGATTTTTCAACGATTGACACTTGAAAACAGAAAACAGAAGCATGAAAATTTCCCCAAAAGATCATAAATTTGCATTTGTATTTTTTTTTTTTTTTTT